CCTGCAGGCCCTACCTCGTTTCAGCCTATTTCTGGGTCTTTTCAGACCCAGAGTTTTCAGCCTGAAACAGAGGGCCATTTTCAGGCCCTCATTGTTTTGACCTGCTCCTAAGACTCAGGCACGGAAACAGCGATGCGGAACAGGCCCAAAATAGCCTGTTCCTCAAGTACTCGAGCAGGAGCTGCAGCTGCAGCCCCTGCCTCCCGTCGGCAGGCTCAAGAGGCACACCCGTAGTACATAGGAGGTTCCCATGCACTTCACGGGTAGGTAGTGTCAGTAGGCAGAGGCTGGTTTTACATTACTACCGTCTTCTTCACCCAAATACGACACCGGGTCATTAACACTGCATTTGGCACAACTTTCAGGCCAGATACGGTGATAATTACCGGGCGGCGAGCGTTCTATTCAGGTGAAGATGCCGCAGTGGTGGTTAACTTAACAGCTACCCCACCCAGCTACATCGCAAGCCGCCGTATCAAAAGGGTGGTGGCACCCGGAAGGCCCTTGCCCACTACAATTCAGAACTTTGGGCAAGGGCCCAGTCGGCCCTTGCCCGCTACAGTTCTGAACCTTAGGCACGGGGAAGGCCATTCATCGGGAAAAGGAGCCCCAGTGGAGGTAATGGTGGTCGTTGAACGACCTCAATCAGATGCTTCATGCCAATGAACACTGCAGAAATGGGCCCTATGCCAGGAGGCATCATATCCTTCTTCCTCCATTGGTCAATCCAACAACGGCCACAGACTTTTCTTTCTCTGCCAGAGTCGCCCTGATTTTCCACAACGTAGAACCGTGTTCCCCCAAAAAGAACACACGGTCAGGCGTAGCGCAATTCGTACACCCATGGACTGTTGAAATACATACCCACGTTCAACTCCAGATACATGCAGTCCTTATCGCTGTATGTAGACCCAAAGTTGCCCCAAATAGCGACAGGCGCAGCGCAGTTTGTACACCCCCCATGGACGGAACGAAACTGCACCCAACCTGCAGGTGGGCGATACCGGCCAGGGGTCAGCCGGTAGCATCAGGACAGAGCTTCTTCAATGGGCCAGTCGCTCTGCCTCCCCTCCGGTCCCCTCCCCCTTCGAACATCCGCAGTCACTGGTCAATGCCGGTTCGGGGCACCACCGGGCTATATCTAGGTGGGGGGGGGCCAAGCTTGCCTTGCCCAGGAAGGTACATGAGGCCAATGGGCATTGAACCCAAGACCTCGTGATGAGCTAGGCCCGCTGTTATGAAGTGATTCTCACTTACCTGGGGCCCATCAGTTCCATGATTGTATGCGGGGGCCGTTGCCCCCTTTTTTTTTTTCCCTTTTCGAGTTGCCCAAATACAGCTACTATTTTAAACCGTACGTTCTGTTCTTTTTTTTTCTTCTTTTTTTTTTTTTGTTGTTGAAAAAGGGCCCAGTGCCAAGGCTCCAATTATGAAATTGATTACAACACTTAAACGTACGTTGTGTTGCTTTGCCAGCCTCAAGGCAGTGGTGAGCACAGCAGCAGTAGGGAAGACGGTAGTGATTTAACAGCCAGGCTCAATAATTGCCTTCTTAAAGAAAAGTGAACACAGCAGCAGTGGGACCTAGCGATAAGTCCGAGGCAGGTGCATCCAGCAGGGTGTTTGAAAAGCGGCCACTGCAGGTGTTTGAAAAGCGGCCATGTACTACATCCATGAAAGTCCGACTGTGCGCATGCACTGAGAATCATGAAACCCAGAAAGCCCAGAAAGCCCAGAAAGCCCAGAAAGCCCAGAAAGCCCAGAAAGCCCAGAAGAAGCTCTGCCCGAACTTAGAGAAAAACATGCTCCCAAGCAGCCAAGCTGGGCCCAGGAACTGTACAACCCATACTTCCCAGAGACTTCACAACCAATGCGGGCAACACGCACTCTGACAGTTGGCAGGGGGAGGATTGTCTCTGCTCTTTTCTCTCTGTATCGACC